CCACAGCTACCTCCAGATTAAAATTATTACTCATACTGCGTAGATCGGAACAAAAATTAAACAAAAATTAAATTTTAATCTGGAAGGTAGCGGTAGTTAACTATGACATTGGGAAATTTATTCGGTGATATTTTGTCGTATTATAACATTCGAGGACGACACAATACTTATATGGAAATTTCAGTCAAAAATAATAATCACAACTGTGAGTGACCTGTTCGAAGTTGCGAGCGAAATAGTAAGTTCCCTTAGGCTACGTTTCCACCAGAGATGTGCTAGGCCGCTGCGCGATGCGAGGATGCTTAGCGAGCTTTTCTCTACTGAGCACACATACCTCGCACACAGCCCTCGAACAATCCCTCGCAACACATCCTTTGCACACATTCTTTCCTTGTTTTGTATGTACAAAAACCTCGTTCCGCTGAGCCGTTTCCACTAGAGCTGCGCTGAACGAGGCTAGGTACACGAAGTGATTCTATTGGCTCTTAACAAACACATCCCTCGCTACGCATTCTCGCACATCTCTGGTGGAAACGCAGCCTTATAGTGCGTGGCGAGACTCGAGTGAAAACGTCACCACGCTTTGTCCAACCGGCCGAATTTTGACGATAACATCGCGCTGGAAAGCTCACTTTAGTCTTCATTATCTCAGTCATTTTTTAAGTTAGGAAAAAAATTAAGACACCTTTTTTATTGGAATTTTCTCAAGTTTTTTAACAAACACATAAGAAAAATCGTTAGCATTTATCAATCAGCAATAGGCTTTTACGTGGTAGAGCCACGCTACAGCTGTATTAGTAGTAGGTATAGTTGTAGCACGAATGGGTTGGCTCGACCGGGGAAGTACCTACTTTTTTACTGGAAACGAGGCATTACATCTTAGTCCTCATGGGTAACAACGCATCTGCATTTTGATTCGTAATCGAGAATAGATGTAGATGTCTATGGGCCGCAGCAACCACTTACCATCAGGTGGACCGTGTGCTAGTTTGTCACCCTAATCCTATAAAAAAAAGAAAAAAAAGGCTACCAATATTGGTATTCGCTATTATTTTTTTATGAATAGAACTTTAACATTAACAATAAAATGATATGGTAAAATGATGTTCACTAGATCGTTTTTTTTTTGTATTGATATTTCATATGAGTCCTAACAAGTGATAATAGAACAAGATGTATGTAATGCATTTGTATTTGTAACCTTTTTTGTTTGAAGTTAGCTGTAGGTGTTCATGGACAAAGTAGCCACTTACCATCAGATGCAAGTTTGTTTGTCATTTCAGTTTTATAAATAAAAAAACGCTGTCCAACAGATTAAGATCCATCGATTGACTTGTTCGTGGAAGATGAACTTATCTAGTCACAGTAAAGCTACTCGTCAAGAACTTAGCGAGCGTACGTAGGGCTCTTACAACTACCGACATAAGTGTGACATGGACGTTAAATAACGTATCTTTCCGGTCCAGTTGCTTGAAAACGTCACTCAATGCAGTGATGGAAAGTTTCGGCGATATAACGCCGGTTTTACATTTCTCTACACGTCGATGGGTTTTATACTTTGGTTCTGTGATCGGATAGCCGCAGTAGCAAAGGGGATACCTACTGTACAAACACTTTATATAGGTACGAATAGTCAACCTAGTACTGATAAAGGGCAATAGTATCGCCCAATTTTTGACGGAACCTAAGGCACATCAGAATATGAATGAATGTGGACTATACATACGCAAGACTAAGTAGCACATGGAACTCTTCGGTCTTCTGATATTTTTTTTAATAGTATGTAGTCTAGTAAGTCTGCGTGTGAGACGATTAGAACAATTCTCTAAATTAGCACATAGACACAGCTCAGAAGAAAAATCAGTCTGTTTTTCAAAAGACCATTGTCACATTTCTTGAAAAAAAATTCATAAATCTGCTTCTCGCCTTCGATGAAGTGCCACAGTGGAGAACGGGAATGGAAAGAGGAAGACTTTAAGTATCGGTTATCCACTCCCTTTTGAAAGATGTTGAGAAGAGCCCGGGGCCAGTACGTTGTTAAAGTGCTGGAGAATCTTATTATTAGAAGCCAGTGTATACATGATCATGAACCCTATACCCTTCACTGACGGTATAAATGCATGCCTCCTTAAGATCGGTTCTGAATGTGGACATTATCTACACTAAGTATGGAGGACTGGTCAATGGTCCCACGACTGGATAGAATCACAGATGACATCACTGCACAATCAAGCCTGCTGTACTTTAATTCATAGTAACCCGTAAATAATATGGTATAAAGTAGAGGGCAGAAGAGCAAGAGGCAGACGACCAGCCATAAGGAGCGATCAAATCGCTTGGGTCGACTACAGCAAGCAGTGCACATTGCGAGCGACGGAGTCCAGTGAAGAGCTCTCTTGTATTCTCTGCAATAACACGATCGTTACCATTCAGAATTGAGGAAACGATTAGGATGAATATCAGAACAACCGAACTGATGATATTTCCTTGTTAGATTGAACTCTATAATACTAAACGCACGAGGACGTGCAAATGTCAGCATAGCCGTTAGTGAATGAATACATTTTGAATAGCAACTTGTGTTGCAGAGTACAGAGGTGCGAGTGCATCACTCCCCGCCTCCCCACTTCCCCAGTCGTTAGCCCGATTTGACTTGTCATGTCATGTCATTATTTGTATAACCCGGGCATAATAAATAGTCTTTCGTATAATCACTTGGTCCATAACATATATATAGAAATGAAATGGCGTCAATGTACACAATGTTACACTTTATAATACGTCACAGATTACATTTAAACAGAGAAGTAAAATGTCAAAAAATAGCCATGATCAGTAAAGTTGGACTACCGTACATTTTAGCCAACTTAAAAAGCGAGGACGTTAAGAGTTCAATAGTATATTTTTCTTTTTTTGTATATATGTTACGCGATATCTTTGTCAATTGTAAACCGATTTTGATGATTCTTTTTTTTATTAAATATAGTACACTCCATTTAAATTTGAAGAAAAATTTCTACCCCCAAGAGCAGCAGAATAGGGAAAGAAAATTTTAATGTAACTCAGTAACTATTTAAACGACATTTAGATTTTGATATTGCTTAGTTACACTTAAAAGGGTAAAAGTAGTAACTTTTAATAAAAAGTAAAAGCCGACTTCAAAGAACTAAAAAAAATAACATATTCTTTTATTTTCATATTCTTTTTTTTAATAAGATAAGGGTGAAAAACGAACACACAGTCCACCTGATGGTAAGTGGTTGCTGTGGCCCATAAACCTCTACATCTATCTTCGATTACGAATCAAAATGCAGATGCGTCGTCACCCGTGAGGACTAAGATGAAATGTCTCGTTTCCAGTAAAAAGGGTTTCCGGTTATGTATTCGGAAGTAATTTATTATTTTATAAATGATGACTTATCATCGATCTTATGTCTCATTTTTATACTAGGGTCGAACACTAGCCCTTACATCATTTATATTATATAAAATTCAATACTAAAAAAAATTATGGATAGTGAATAAATATAAAAATAGTGAGCGTAAATTATATCGAAACGTAAATTAGTTTATTTTTAATTAATGGTATTTTTATAGTAAACTGCTGTTTGTAAGCAGTGTAATTAATTTATTTCAGTCCGAAAGTGAATGAAAGTGTTATAATATACTAGCTCGCCAGGCAGACGTTGTTCTGCCCTTTCCAACGACCCTTCCTATAAAAATCCTTAAATTCGCAATAAAAAAAATTTGAATGTCATTTAGCGGGATAAAAACTATCCTATCTCTCAAGTTGGGCCAAAATGTACACAGTGTGCAAAATTTCATTGAATCCAGTTTAGTAGTTTAGGAGTCCATCGCGGACAAACAACGTGACACGTAATTGTTATATATAAAGATTAAGAGCAGGTAAGCACAAATAAGTGTAGGCAAAGAATGAAGTTTGTATGTCGAGCGCAGTTGACAATTTAGACAGGTCGAGTGGCAACACGTTACATGCCCAAATAAGCGGGGTGAAAGATTTGTTTGCATATACAATCACTATCATATTTAATATAATACTAAATATAATTAACATTATTACTTTTAACTTAGTAAATTCATTTCATGTTCATATTCTCCTGATCTATATTCTACTACGATGTTAACAAGTAGTCCCAATTATAAAGTAAAATAAGACATGTTGAAACTAAACTAACTGATAACTAGATGTCTATAGGTCACAGCAACCACATACCATCAGGTGGACTGTGTGCTCGCTTGTCACTCTATCCTATAGAAAGCTGTCTTTACCTATGCGTAATATTTTATTTTATTAAACCAGCTGTACCATACAACACTTGTTGGGCAGTATGATTTACTAGCGTTTGTACAAAAACTCAGCAAATTTTCATAGTAATTAGACGAATGGTATAAATATATCCCAGGGCATAAAAAAACGAACAAGCAAAGAAACTAATATTACATTTTTATCAGAAACCTTTGTGGCTGCGCACACAGCAACTCACTTAATGACATTATACTTAGATAAATAGTATAGTAATACATACAGGACGAAGAAACATTCATTTATATGCATATAGTAATAATTGCCAGATACATATAGTGAGTATCTATTTGTACCGACTCTATGTTTACCAAATTTTTGGATAACATCAAAACAAGCTTAGAAACTAATTGCGAAACAAATCAAGCATACATGCGAACGTAAAGCTTGACATACACATACGTTAAATATGTTTTTATTCAGTCCGAAAGCAAATAGCAACAAGTTTTAAAATTTGTCGCAAAATTTACAGTTTTCACAGAGGAGAGCAAATAAACCAAAAAAACATGTTGTGTGAGTTACTTTATATAACAAGTTTCAAATTGGATGAATTTGATGTGTATGCACGGTTAAGATGTGAAGACACATTTTCAATATTTTTGTCAGTTTAATATGTTAAAGATTATATCGTTGTAATTGCAAAACATATGAAAGTATTTAAAACATTGCCACTTACCTCACTCGAAGTTAGATAGCAGATTCTTGAGTCAGTGCTGTCTATAGATGCTTGTTGCACGATGCCATAACGTGTAGACTCCCTATCACTGGTGTATTCCGAACGGACGCTGTCTTGACGATCAAACACGCCCCTGTAATCAAAAAGTAAAATAAGTATAAACAGGCACTGTAATAAGACTTTTATAAATACTTCTATCATCTATATATGCATCAAAACTATTTTAATATCAACTAACCCACTTGCATCGATAATCCCTTATGTTCCTTATAATATGCACCAGCATTTTCAGACAAAAATATGAAAACCTAAATTCAAATGAACAAAGAGTCGAGAGCCTCGCTTGGGTCCGTATTAAGCAGTAAAAGGGTTGTTTACTTAAACAAAATGTCGTAATAATAGTCATTATTTCGAAGCTGAAATCACAGTTAAAAAAATCGTTCACGAAACGAATTATACTTGCCAAATGACTTTAAAAGTCTATAACAGTTCTGTATGTGTTCTTATGAACCGAGTTTCAAAAAAGAAGTTATCGAAATATTCGTTGCGTATGTTTTTTGTGTACGTTCACCGATTTCTAGTATATGAACCGATTTTAATTATCCTTCTTTAATTAAAATAACTATGTAACTACTAGCTGTGTCCCGCGGTTTCACATGACATGATACTTAGTTCAAGTATTTTAGATAGTAGCGTATGAAAAAATTGTCTATTTATCTACTATCGGCATAATATGTACGTTATAGAGCGAAGTCAACTTTTATCCACAAGAAAGTGCCCCGAAGCGCGGCTTTTTCCAGTTCGAAAGAAAACCGTACACGATACATGAAATGTGTGTAAGTACAGAATGATCCTTGATAAATTTGCTATCAACCTATTGTACGTATAAAAACGATATCAGTTATAGTAAAAATTTTCCACTTTACCGAAAACTTATGTATGACTAAATAGAATTAATTTATTTTTAATTATCTATTTTTTTATTTCGGCCATTCAGCCGGTACGAGGCTGCCATTCGACAACCTTTTTTCCCCATCGGTGATCGGTTCTTCGAGCTATATTCTTCGGCCGGCCCATTGCCACTTCAGCTTACTAATCCGCTTAAATATTCTGTTTAACTAAAACAAATCTTTAATAATTTTTCAAAGAAATTGTATGTTATATAAAGTAGAATATCGAAATTCGGGACAAATTGGATTATTTATAAAACTAGCTGTTCCCCGCGACTTCACCCGCATGGAATTTATTACTATTGAATTTTATGGGTTTTAATTTTTTTTGCGTGGAACCCTAATTCTTTTGCTAAAATAAACGTAATTTAACTATCCAAGTTACTCCTTATAACATCAGCTATCTGCCAGTGAAAGTCCCGTCAAAATCGCTCCAGTCGTTTTGGAGATTAGTCGGAACTAACAGTCCAGACTCTAAAAAACAGAGACTTTTAAAAAAATGTTTTTTCGTTATAAATACTGTATATACTTTCATATGCATTTAGTAATAAAAAGCTGTTACTTTGACATTACAAACAGACACTTCAATTCTATTTATTTGTATATATTATATAAAATGTACGAGCTGTTACTTTGCAATTACAAACAGACACTTCAATTCTATTTATTTGTATAGATTATATAAAATGTATATGTATGATGAATATAAAATCGTAATGATTGTTCTCTTTTAAATTAGCCTCTACGTTACACTTTGAATTTCTCCTGTATCTTGGGAGCGCTAATATGCACCAATGTTACACACATAGTAACCAGTGTAATAAATACTGTAGAACACAGCGTCGCAGCAAAATTCTTATTAACCACTGGGTGACACACCCTTCAGATTGGCGTGATTTATCATCCCTCTTATACACTGGTTATTTAACTACTTCCAATCTCATCGTATATTTGTTGATACAGCGGAAACTAAGAGATTGGGACCACTAAAAGCCTTTTTTTTTGCGCTTACACTAAACGCATTTGGGAAATTATTGGGATTTATGCTAATGCTATTTATGATGCTATTGTATTTGCAAGTTTACATGTATATACTATATGCATTACGTACAAACATATTTGAACATTAATGACGTATTTCAATATTCAACAAACGTGTTGTACTCCGTTAACATTTTTATTTTATAATAAACGAAGTGAAAATTTTGACAACTTAAAATGAATTTGAGCCGTTTTTAGTATGCAACCATTATTTTGTTTTTATAAATGGTTTTCCATGTAATTCATAGGTACACTATAAAACGGTTATGTGGGAAAACGATATTTATAAGGATTTCTTATGTTTACACGTATATAGTGTATATAGTGTAGTATTAGTTTAAACATAAGAAATCCTTACACCTACACCACAAATTCTCACCAAAGAACACCGATTCCTTCCAAAAATCATTCGCGAGGCTATTGAAATCAAGAAAACGTCCTTATTTCAATAGAGAAGATGGCTTGGTGCTACCATCTGCTTGGGATCCTATAATTAATAAAATTAAACCCCAAGCATACAACTGCAAATCTTCAAGATACTACAAGTTCATACTGCGTAGATCGGACTAAAAATTAATAATTTTAATCTGGAGGTAGCCGTGCTCAACTATACCATTGGAACGCCGAACACCTCATCCTTCCCGTGTAAAGTGTTCGAAACGTCGGGAATATAAAATAAGTTAATATATTTGATAAAATCCGTGAAAACTAGTTTCATTTAGACATTTATAAGCTTTATAACGGAACATTTAAAATATACTCGTAGAAACTACGTGTGAGCTATTGAGTCGTGGCACTTAATTATCTGTGGATCTGTTGATAGATTCTGATTCCTTTTAATAATCTTGGTCGATAACCGGCCACTAGAAATATCATCATTGTCATAAATACACAACTATTTTAATAAAGATTGCTTAATACTTTCTTTTATTTTAATCAAATTATCATAATTTAAAAAAAAGTCTTGTTAATCTTTATAATATATAAAATTATCGTCATGAAACCTTTTAAAACTGTTTTAAATTAAATTTTAAAACTGCAGAATAGAACAAAAAGTTTGTGTTTGTAATCCTTTCTGGGCTCGATTATAACGCTTGAACGAACTTGTCTACCTCCTATTTCCACTAATGGATATCCCACGTAGTTTGTTTTCACTTCGTATGAATTTTGCAAGTAATCACTAAAGGAGTTTCTATGCAAAGTTCTATAAAATACATTTATTACATTAAGTTCTGTTAACTTTTAAGATACCATTAAATGTAATATCTAACGTTTTGCCAAACAAAATTAGCATTTAAAGCTTGATTTGCATAAGAAGTAATGTCCAAATTTACATCGTCTGGGATGATGATACCCAAAACCTGAGCTTTGTAAATATTAACGAATTCTACACCAAAACGAGTTTCAACCAAGTCGTTTTGTTGAAATACTTATTTGTTATTAATTTATTTAAGGAGTTTGTATTTCATACATGGAGTGCACAAACTCGAAGAAAGTCAGTAGTGATAATAGTAGAGTATTTAAGTATTCGGGAATGAGTACGTACCTTTATATTGATGGATTTTTTTAAATTATTTATTTCGGTAAGTAATACAGAATAACATCAGATTATGAAAAATAAAATAATGACAAAATTGCGTTCTCGATAGTATTCCAAAACAAGATAATTAAAGATAATAACATTAAGGAGTTTACAGCACAAATATAAATAACGAAACATTATATACATCATATGTGGTAAATTTGAAAATTCTGACTTATATAAAAAATATTTAATTAAAAGGATGTAAAAAATTATTAGCTAACAAAAAAATAACCCTTGCGTCTTACCTAGTTATTAGTACCTTCCGCTCTCTTTCAATTGCGTCTACTAACGTCAAAAATACATAGATATAGGTGGTGTGTTCCTAGTGTTGTGGTGTAGGGATTGAGGGAAGACAAATCTTTTTGTTACGCGGATCATGACTAATTAATATAATGGATTTTCGCAAAGTAACTCCTGATTCTATTAATCATTTATTTTATTATTTTAAGCCTTAAATACCTACTCTATATTAATATAAATTGGTTAGGTTTTATTAAATTACTAGCTGTTCCCCGCGACTTCACCCGCGTGTAATTTAGGGTTTTAATTATATTGCTCAGAACCCTAATTCTTTTTCTCAAATATAAGTAGCCTAAGTTACTTCTTAGAATATCAGCGATCTGCCAGTGAAAGTCCCGTCGAAATCGGTCCAGCCGTTTCGGTGATTAGCCGAAACAAACAGACCGACAGACAGAAAGACAAAATTTAAAAAATTGTGTTTTTGTTATAAGTACCATATATACATTCATATGTATTTAGTCCTTCACTGCTGGCCGGATGAGGAAGCTCAAGGTCGCTCAGCGAGCTATGGAGAGGGCTATGCTCGGAGTTTCTCTGCGTGATAAATTCAGAAATGAGGATATCCGCAGTAGAACCAGAGTGACCGACATAGCCCAACGGATTAGTAAGCTGAAGTGGCAATGGGCCGGCCATATAGCTCGAAGAACCGACAACCGATGAGGAAGAAAGGTTCTCGAGTGGCAGCCTCGTACCGGCAGACGAAGTGTAGGGCGTCCCCCCACTAGATGGATTGACGACCTGGTAAGATATGCAGGAAGCCGATGGATGCAGGTGGCTCAGGCCCGTACTTTGTGGCATTCTTTGGGGGAGGCCTATGTTCAGCAGTGGACTTGTGAAGGGCTGTAATGATGATGATGATGATGATGATGATGATGTATTTAGTAAAAAGCTGTTATTTTAACATTACAAACAGACACTTAATTTTAATTTATTTGTGTAGATATATCGATTCATTTTGCTTTTATAATTCAACTAATAATTATTAAAACGACTGTCTCGTTGGTATAGTGGTCGTAATCGAGATTTCTGATCGTGAGGCCCCGGTTTCGAATCCCATGTCGGGCCAAAATCATGCTGTTGCTATACATATTATTGTGGTTGTACCACGAGTGGGTCGCCTCGAAAGGGATAAGCCGATGCTCTCAGCTTAATGCTGCTGTATTTCGTATAGTGAGTGTAGAGAACCGGATACAATTTTGAATTTTGTACGAGGCATTCCATATCAGTCCATCTGCATTTTATTTCTTAATTGATGATAAATGTAGATCTCTATGGGCTGCAGCGTCCGCTTACCATCAGGTGGACTTCTGCTCGTTTGTCACCCTTATTCTATTACCGTCTACCGTTACAGCCTATTATAGTCCACAGCTGAACATAGGCCTCCACCAAAAATTGACTCATAGGGAGGATAACTGCCTTAGTGTATATAAAAAAATGTCTATATATATAGCCCGGAGTTAGGAAGTTGGTGGTGTTTCATCCCCGTACCTTGGAAAACACGTGAAAACATTGGTCCTGCGCCTGAGCGGAAACTCATGTCGAGTGACCGACCAGTCAGATTTGAGAGTGAGGGAATAGAGAGTGCAACTGCTTGCGCATAAACTCAGGTTCTATAATCCTGTCTTTGGCAAATGGCTAGTCTACGTTGAGAATGGCCGCTTTGACTGAAATTTGGTCTGGAGGACATCATTATTATTAAAGCGACACCTTCATACTAGACAATGTAACACAACCGATTATTTCTGTAAAATTATGGGTAAAAAGGTGTAGGAAAGCATAGTGGCGATTGTGGTTAATGTTATTTTTGACGAATTAAAGGTGTGTGTGTGGGGGGGGGAGGGGTGAGATTTTTGTTACTACGTAATAATGTTTTCTGACGCACCGTTGTTCGAAACTGTCAGCTCGGTTGCTCTTATACCCGGAGTCATTGAGGCTGCCTTCTTGTCGTAAGCTGGGGAGGGAGTCCCAAGGAGAGCGACGATGGCCTTGAGGCGGGCCGCCCCGCCAGCCATCCGAGTGCCGATACCACGCTGATCGAGCAGATTCCCCAATACAGGACGCACATCGTGAAGCACTTACAAAACTGCGGGACAACCATAATGTTAAGAGTGTTGAATAATAATGAAACTTACTGTTTTTAGTTTATACTTTTTTTATTAACCCCAACTATAGCAGTGTCTCCTTGGAATTTTGACACTTGGAGTCGTTTCACATAACTAAATTTACAAATAACCAGATCTGGAACAATTATTTGTAGGCCATACAAATACTTGTTCCGTACGGGATTCCAACTCGTGACCCGCAGCGATAGCCAATTGCTTAGCCACTACGCTACCGAACGTTCAATAATATAGTTATTTCTGTAGATAGATTTGTTTTTACCCTCCTTCTGGTGCAGTAGGAATCAGAAGGAGGGTTATGATTTTCGAGAGTATGTATGTATGTATGTCTATTTCTTTGGTACGCTACGTAGCCTGTACGACTTGATGGATTTTATCATACTACGAGGTGTCGTTAGAATTGTATTAATTGTGGAAGTGAAATAGGCTATATAATATTTATATATTGCATCTGCAAATATAAAAGAGGTAGTGGAAGGTTTTTATACGCAGTCGGAAAATTTAAATTACTGTGTTAACCATTTTGCTTATTGTATTATCATGAGATCGTACCTATGTGATAATTGAATTTTTAATAATTTGATTTTGTGGTTACTTTTTCAATGTTTTAGAGTCATATTTAGCAAGATATGGATGTGATGATATTATATGATGAATATGAATTCATACATTCTATACCTTCGAATACCTATATATCTCTATTAATATTTGAAATTATAAATATTTATGTGACTTGTTTCTGGGTCGCTTCGCTCTTTTTTTAAATAAATAATAAGAATTTAGCTTGTACCCAACTTACACTCGTAGTCCAAAGAGCAGAAATACTGAACTGACGTAGAAAAATTTTGAGACAGACCCTTTTGCGGTATATATTAACCTTTGACAATATGACCTCTATAATTATGATTATTCATTTCATATATACACTATGAAAATAAAAAAACGTTACGATGAAACTAAATAAAATACTAGAAACCGCGTCTGTTAAAATAGTGGGTGTACTGACGTAACATAATTTTACTCTCTGCAAAACTTTTGAGGCTGGATTTTTTTTAAATGTGGTTTTTATAGAAACGTGGCCTGAATAGTTTTACTCGTACTAACCCGAGGTATACACGATAGTATGATGCAATTTGGCTCTGTACTCAGAACGATAGATACGATGAGAACAAATGTACACATACCTCATTCAGACATTTTTAATATGCAACATTCAACGAGATATGTGGTCAAAAATTACTGAAGACAAAATTTTGCAGTTCATCAACTTGAAAACAAAACTGTAATTTAATTTATACTAAATTTAAAACTGGAAATTTTATTAATTGGGCCATTTTAGAAATTTCTTCAATTTATAATGCATTGCTAGTCTTGATGTGTAAGCTAAATGTTGGGTGTAGCAGAAGTATAAAAGTAAAATTAACGCTGTAGAAATGCGGTCACTAAAAAGTAAGAAATTGTGTGATAAGAACAATATTGGATTTCTAAAAGATGTTGTGACCAGGTTTGGGAAAAGAATGCCCCATATTCTCTGCCAACCGCTCAGGGTTACAGGGGTAAGAGAGCTATATTATGTACTTTAGGAATAAATATTTTTGATGTGTATACTTTATAATATGCCTAAATATTACATTCTATAACAAATATTTCATTGTTATACCGTGTAGTAGCAGTGCAACTGCCAAGGTGCCACGCATGGTAACTGTGACAAATATTCCCCTTGTGAGGCAATTTATGTGGAACTCTTGGAGAGTTGAGCGGTAGATTTTGATAGGCCTTAATGAATGATGAATGATTTGTTGTTGATGTAGGATTGGACATTATTTATTAAGGTAACCTGCGGAATTCGGAGTCAGCTTTTTGAACAGATTTTGTGCTATCAATCACCCACCAGAGCCTCCTCCGTCAATCAGCAGGGAACAACTTGTGCAAGTGAGGATGGTATTTAAGTAATAAGTTGGCAGTACATTTCGATATAATTAGAAACAAAATAATATGAACATGATTTCTCGTTTAGGCGAATACTACACATTGAATGAAACTAGTTTATAAAGTGGTGACTGACCGATGACTGCTGTAAAGCTACCGAATTGGCAGAAAAAAAATATAAATAATATATGAAAATAGGTTAGTGAATTGCACGCAATAAAATCTGTAAAAATTACTTTCATACAATGAACGAAAGGTATTATTATTGCGGTAATAGAAGTATTATAATCTTCATATTGATTATATTAAAGTTATATTTTGTGATGTCAATTAATTTTATGTAAGTATAAAACTGCAATGAAACATAGGTGTAGCAATTACGAAACAGAATGTCACAGAACCTACAATAAAATTAAAGCAATTTACGTCCGTCACAAAGTCACTACATAAAAAAGATGTACGAGTTCAACGTTGTAATGCTCTGTACGATAATCTAATTCAAAATGGACGCTCCAACCATTCCCAAGAGACGATAGTTTCATGTCAGATACGAAACTCGTCTCGAATCTATTACTAGTTTAATAGAATAGTATGAGTGGAGCAGACATTTCTCTGCAGATGCCAGCATTATGTAACCGTACAACTTGACGTCAGAAAGCTGGGAAGCGAAAGAGTAAACACTGAAATCAAGCAAAACGGTATTTTGAACCCTTATTGAAATGGATAAAATATGCAAATCAATTTTTGTTGACTCGGCTGCTTCTTTTTGTTATCTAAAATTATAAATCAAGTGCATGTCGAAATGGGTCATAAAGGACCCTATAAGGTAATTAAATATGTGAGAGATAGATTCTTATGGAAAGGTTTAACGAAATATATTAAAAACCAATTAAGGGCTTGTCATTTATGTCAGTTATCTAAGAAAAGCAATATAACATATGTGGGTCCCTGCAAATCTATAATAACAGAAAACATTGGCGATATAGTCATGGCAGACTTATATGGACCACTTGGTACATCAGGTACCTTTGGGTACACTTTCATATTTGTCATTCAAGATTCATTCAGTAAATTTATCAAATTATATCCTCTTTTATTTTAAATTAATCCTATTTTAAATCGTGTTTAGGGAATCTCCCTTTTATCGTTTACTAGGAGCAACTCTTCTTTATATTTTTTTTAACAAGTGCTTTCTTGGAAAGTCTATGAAAGAAAAACTCGGCACGAACAGAACATAAATAAAACCTATTTCTATCTATTTTTTATTATTACCGCTCCTGGGTATTCTTCTCTATCCATAATCTGCAGAAAGACAAAAATCAAGACCTGTTGAATATTATAAACTCTTTTGTATTATGTTCTTGTGTTGTTCAAAAATAAAATTTCAATACGTCACATATCTTAATTTGTTGGTAGACATTTTTGTTATATCGAGCTGGATCATCTTACCTTTGGTAGGTTATGTGTTATAGTCTGTAGGGCATACAAAAGAAACGTGTTATAAGCGTGATTCAAATCCGAGGCACTAAGCGCCACAACTCAATGCCTAATCAATGCGTCACTAAACCATAAGCCTTATTCGATTTTTTTACTTCATAAGTTGCTATTAAGGATAGCAGAGAAAGCAATATTCTTTAGTGCAGGATGAGTAAAAATGCCGATAAGGATGGTATACCCTCGTTGAGTGTCACAAATACGAATACGTTTTCCAAATCGTTGGGTATCTCCGCATAGCGCATACGAGTAGCATGAAATCGAGATCTTGTGAACGTCATAAGTGTTGTAAAGAAAAGTAAATATTATTGCATTACTATAGCAATATACGTGCTTATGAGTTGCTCCTATAAAAACAATCTAATCTGAACATTATCACATCTTTCTTAAATTATATGACATATTGTAATAATTCCTACTGGTTACTTAGTTAAATATTTTTATTAGTATTAAAATAAAATGAAGAAAATGCTCAAAGCGCTACAAGCAGCGCATTTTCACGTGTGACGCAATAAAAATATTAAAAGATATTTTATTATAATACTAGCTGTTCCCCGCGACTTCGCCCGCGTGCTATTTGGGGTTTTAATTTTTTGCGCGGAACCCTAATTCTTTTTCTAAAATAAAAGTAGCCTAAGTTACTCCTTGTGACATCAGCATCAACCCGTCAAAATCGGTCCAGCCGTTTCGGAGATTAGCCGGAACAAACAGACAGACAGACGGACAGACAGACAGACAGACAAAAACTTAAAAAAATGTATTTTTGTTATTTGTACCGTATATACTTTCATATGCATTTAGTAAAAGCCTGTAATTTTTAAATTACAAACAGACACTTCAATTTTATTTATTTATATAGATGTATAGATATTCGTGTGAAATATAGAAAATCAAAATTTCGGATTATTAATTTTGTTACTATTTCTTTAACTTCGATAATGTTGATCATTATTTTTTGGCATAAGACATTCATTTACCCGTATTTACATAATAGTTTTAATATATGTATTGGCTTGCAAAATATTAATTTCTTAAAATAGTATTCAAATGACAAATTACGAGAGCGCAAATTGTAAATTGCACGGACTGACATTTTTGCAAAATAAAAACAAAATTCCCGTTAGCTGCATGTCCCCACAATAAATTACCGCAAGACATATGCTAATATTGGTATGATTATTATATAATGATATGGTAATTAAACAAATTTAATTACCGGTACTAGGTTCCTGATAGGTAATGAATCGTTTAATAATTATGCAATCGATTGTACACAACGGTTATTTTTGATTAGTTTTGTTAAATTTGATTTGTTTAATTGACTAAATTAATTATGTAGGTATGTACTATGAGTATTTATTTAATATATTATTTTATGTTAAATTATTTTTCGACGACTTTTCCTGGCTACATTTAACACTTAACCCTTAGGACTGACGAGAAGATCCTATAATTCGAAGAAGAGGTAGACTAGTTGCGCTGGGACATTATGGGAGCTTCAAGAGAATGGAATTCACCGGAAGGGCGACCGTCTTTCCAG